GATGAAACGAGGACGAAAAAGCTTCAAAATAAGAGGACATGGAGATCCCTCTAAGGAAGAAACAGTCGCTGCTGCTGCTGAGGTTCACTAGAAATTCGGAATCAGCTATTCACACGGCTGTAAATATGTGAAAGGATACGGTAGCAGCAAGAATGTGTGTCAACTTCGAAATTTACAACAGAAAGAAATAGAAGAGAAACTTTCAGCGTTTTCATTTGAAGAAAGGGCGCTCGTGAGTTTGTTGTTATCATCAGTGTGTCGGGTTAGTCAAGAAAGCTGTGTGATGTTGGTAACAATACTGTAGTCCAGTTCGGCTTGATGGGGGCAGCGGATGATATCCAGCTAAGATTTGTTAGGAGCCGTGATTTCATGTAGCCAAAGTGGTTCACTCGAACAGTTTCACAGCTTCGTTGGAGTTCACATGCCTGACTAAAGTGAGATCCGCTAGTTGAGCTGAACTAAAAAAAGGGTTTGCGAGAGTCGAGAATGCCTCCGTCAAGTCGAATAGCGCTATACCGTGACAAACGTTCCTACAAGATGCACTATTCGAACAGTCGCATTCATTGCAAACAAGGGTATGCCGAGGCTTCAGTACGTCACGTTATTGCAAAGCTTTAAGCTTTTAGAAAAGTAGGAAATTATAAATGACATGTTCGACAACTATAATGTTTCAGGAAGAAACTGCACGCTATGAGGAGGAAAGGAGACAGCAAGAAATGAGAAGGCACGAAGAAATGAGAAGACAAGAAGAAATGAGAAGGCAGGAAGAAATGAGAAGACAAGAAGAAGTGAGAAGACAGGAAGATATAAGAAGGCAAGAAGACATCAGAAGGCAGGAAGAAATGAGAAGACAAGAAGAAATGAGAAGACAAGAAGAATGGAGAAGACAGCAAGAAGAGCAACGCAGACGTGTTCCACAAGCACAGACATCCACTTGGGAAACAGGTGCTCCTTCCACGGGTCAGGTTCGTGAATTCGTCTTACTTTACCATACTCCACCGGTTTGCCTTAAAAATGAGCCGATTCCATTGAATCAACCGTTTCACTGCATGAATAAGATGAAGTGAATAGATCCAGATAAACGGAGCAATTTATAGCATTGAGGGTACTGAAAGCACTCCTTCATGCAAGTAGTGGCAAGGCTTAGTAAACTGCTGACTCAACCGGCAATACTGGAACTCGGTTCCTTCAGTGTTCCAGTGCCGCCACAGCCTTTCCAGTCTTTCTTTGCAGCTGATGTTCATCTCTGCCCTGACTTATCTTCTTCTTCATGGTGCTTTTCCCCATTAGAAGCCAATGTCCGCTTTCGCCAGACGATGGCGTCGTTCCTTCGATCGAAAGACTGGAGTGAATTC